CCCTTCTAAACTCATTGATCGAAAACAATTTGGATTCCAAGGGTAACTAGCGTTAACCTTGGTAACAAACTAAATCACGCACGCAAAACGTTATTATTTTTGTATTCGCTTGGAGTTGCTCGCTAGTTAGAATAAACCTCACAAAATGGACAATCGGTAAAAAAATATTGATGATATTCATTATTCATTCCATTTATTTATGAGAACCACGTTGGGTCAGGGAAGGGAGGCACACTCAGTGCCGGATTATCCTAGTAGCAAAAGTACCTACTACACGTGTAGTAGCTACAACACGTGTAGTAGCGACGGGCCCCGCACTTTCAAGGGCCCCGCGCGAAACACTTTCAAGCTATCAATTCCGGTTCAGTGATTCTGCACTTGCTCTATTACTATAGTACTGTACTGCCCTTCAACTTTTATGAACAACTGGGTGTTCAAGGTTAGCGATTTCTCGCATTATCGGGCTGTATAGCAAATGATAAAATACAATTACTTTATAATAAAGGTTTTTGGGTTAGATTGTGAGTATAAATGTGTCGAAAACTGCCAGCACCCGACACGGCCAATCATTAAGGGATTTGTCACGTAAACAATACGACAAATAGCTACTATTTTTCGATTTAAAGCTTTCGTGACTGCAGGAATAAATATTCTTGGTTCTTTCGGTAATGTCACGTAGAAGGGAAATAATAAAATAATATAAAAAACAATAAAATTCTCACGTTTCGATTGCAACACAAGCAATCATCATCAGGTGTGAAAACCACGCGTCGTGAGAATTGTTTTGTTTTATTTTATTTCCCTTCTACGTGACTTTACCAAAAGAACCAAAACTAGTTACTACTTCGGTTTTCGCTCGATGATGCTGGATGTATTTACCAGCAAAACGTCGTACTCAGATTGTAAGTGTTGTGGATTCACTCTTCAACACACCGGTGGGCTAAACCTGCACCCCCATCTTCCCCAAACCGCAATGAGACAAACATTCGCCTCGATTATTCCCTTCCTCCCATATTGACGTCTTCATATCATGAATACAATTACTGTATGTAGAATTCGTTTTACCAATCCCAACATCCACACACGGCCTTCTGATACATGTGTAGTGTAGTAAAACTACTGTGGCTCGGTATTAAACCCAACGGGACACGTGACCGAATAAAGGGGGGGCAGGGGCCCCAGGGGGGTCACGTGGTTGGGGGCTCGGGCCTTCCCGATCCTTCAGGAAGGGGGGGCGTGGCTTGGGGTGGAGCCGGCCACGCCGGAGTGGTTATAAGCCGGGCGTGGACGGAGAGCTGGGCTGTTCTGCTGGGTCAAGTCTGGGATGAAGCCACCATCTACGATCTTCGGTCTCCGGTCCAGTGATGTAGTATCCCCGGTGTGTTAGCTAAGTTAGGAACGGTGGTTACCACCCTATGTCGTTATCCTGTTAATGTTAAAAGTTACCCGTTGTGTTTAAATAATAAAGTATTGCCTCCAAAGTGCAGTGTGCGCCTGAATTTAACCCACGACACTTGTGCTGAATGTGGGGAGTGCCAGACAGCCCCCCTAGAAGAGGACGACTCTTCCGGCAGCAGTGGGGTCGTGAGCAGCAGGCAACTGGTAACTGCAAGCGCCTTCCCCACGTAGGATGGTGGTGAGGAGCCGGCGCCTCACGATTTTCCAAGCTCTGCTGTCCTCTATATATGAAGGGTGTTGCCAGATAATTAATCAGAAAACCGAATGACCGGAATAATGTAACGAAATAACACAAAACTCAGTTTATCAATAAATTAGTTTTCAAGTTATGCGTCTGTGGGTCTCTGTATGAGTCTATGGGTCTTTAAACGAGTCTATACCTCTGTGAGTCTATGGGTCTCTTAGTAAGTCTATAAATTTCAATGCGCTTCTATCAGTCTCTACTTGAACCCCTGGATATGTCTGTGAGTATATTGGTCCCATTCTATGTTGAAAGGTATCCGTTAATCTATGGGTTTGTGCGTCGATGGGTTTCTGTGTAAGTCTAAGGGTCTCTACGAGTCTGACTGTGTATGTTGTGAGTATGTGGGTCTCGATATATGTTGAAACGTCTTTCGCTACGTACACGTAAACCTACCGTGATAACCGGAGTGCGGGGCAACATGGGAGGTGCGGGGAATGGCCTCCCCAGACAGGGGTCCATCCTGGCAACGCCCCCCAAGTGAGATCCCTTCCTAGGGGTCTTTCCTGGCAACGCCCCCCAAGTGAGACCCCTTCAGAGGACTCCCTCCTGGCACCCCCCCCCCCCCCCCCCCAGTGAGATCCCTCCCTAGGGGTCTTACCTGGCAACACCCCCCCCCCCAGCTCCCTTCCTATGGGCTCTCTTCTTGGCAAAGCTACCCAGTGTGCTCCCCTCTATCTCCTGGTCTCGACTGCAGCGGTCGATCCGATGGGAGCCACAAGCCGTGAGGCCCGAGTCCTCGGCACGTTGCTCCACACGCCAGGGTGGCGGGAGGCGAACTCGCGTCACACGCTTCACGAGGCCGATCCACCGCAGGGCAGCTCCTCAAAGCAGCAGCAACAGCTGAAGAGTAACCATCACCCTTAAATAATAAAAAAAACCTCAACAATTTCCCTCCCAAAAGACTTCAGTGAGCCCCAGTCTAAATGAAAATTATCTGAACAGGTCACTAAAACACGAACTCTCAAAGAGCATAGCATCACCCGAGAATCGAATTTTCACTTGGGAGTGCAAATTATAATCAACGCAAACGTACCATCAGGCTCATGCAGCAAATGAAAACAGGCTATACAAACAAGACGGTCCGGTGCAGACAGAACACACGATTGAAATTGTACAGACGAGTCGCGCAACACAAACTGGGCAGCCATTACAAAGGAGACGGGATTACCGCACCGCGTTGCCTCTCAACCTCACGGCACTGGAGCCCGCTCAATCTTCACGTCACAGCAAAACAGCTCAAATCCGTCCCCCTTCCCCAGCCTTTTAAAATCCTTTCCCTAATTTAGGATGTCTCCTTCACCTGCACACATGGTGAGAGAACACCACACGAGTTGGCGTCGTCACCTGCCAGTGTTACTTGAGTGGTGTACAATTTCAATGTTTTTCTCCAGTGTTTGCCTCTCAAGTGTGCAATGTTACCATTTATTCGCTGCTGTAACTTCCTTTTTTTCACAAAAGTCCACTTCCGGACATACTTGTAAATCATAACGGCTGAATGTTTTGCACTCGCATCACAAAATACAACACTCACAGCGTACCCTTCATCCAGTCGTAGATCATGAAGTGCGCGCATCTTTTAAAAATTATGCACAGCTACGGATGGGACTTGGCACCTTCATGGAAATGTGGAATTGTATTAATCTATTTCATAGTTTTGCTTGGATTCGTGTTATCTGCTGTGTTCATGTCAATGTTTGTGTCGGATAGTTATGTGTTCATGTGGCGCCTTCTGGCCACAGGGGCATGACGTTTACTCAAGTCGCTTGGTATAAAATAGATCGTGGGTTCGATCCCGACGTCGACGCCTGTATATGTGGAGTTTACCTATTCTCCCCGTGGTCGTGTAGATTTTTCTCTGGGTCCTCCAGTTTTTCCCTCTCCATTTGGAATGAACATCACAACGTTTGGAGTATTTAGCTGCTGCTAGAAAATTTCACACGACGATAAGCCACTTTGTTGAGCTATCATTTGTGGTAAGGTCGCTTCTGAAAAAAAGCTGCACACAACTCAGTGGGGGTCTTATCTAGCAAATTAATAAACTAAATCACGACGTTTCCATCGCAACACAAGCGGTCGTCCTCAGGCAGAAAAAATATAATCCAGCAGTGGACCTGCTGAACTAGCGAGAGAGCAGCTACAACAAGACCTATATATAGTTGTAGCTGGATTATACTGGTAGGAACGAAGTGGACCAGCCTACAATAGATTATTTCGTCCATCCGATGTCCTTTTACGTGTAGCAACATCGCCCCCTACTGAAAACACTTGGCATGACCCTACAAAAACCTTTAGACTCTGAGGCTTTCCTGGCTAAACAAGTGTAACATTCCCTTATAATTCCCTCAGATAGCTTTTAATTAAAACATTTAAATTAATGAGGCTTTCCTGGCTAAACACGTGTAACAGTCCCTTATAATTCCCTGAGATAGCTTTTAATTAAAACTTTGAAATTAAATAAAAAACTCACAGCGCCTTAAGCTTACAGCTAGGCCTAAAGCCTAGAACTAGGCCTCACAGTTTCCCTTCGTGTGTGTGAAAGGGAGTTAATGTTTAACAATGTTACATTCCCTAATGTTTTAAAATAGCAACATTTACATTTAAAGCTTTTACATTAATAATTAATACATTTAAATTATACATTAATAATTAAAACATTTAAATTAAAAATTAGGTCACAGCGCCCTAAAGCCTACAGCTCGGCCTAAAGCCTAGAACTAGGCCTCAAAATCTCCCTTCGGATCGTCCGATTAGGTGTAGCAACATCGCCCCCTACGGCAAACACTTGGCAGGACCCTACAAAAACCTTTAGACTCAGTGGGGCTTTCCTGGCTAAACAAGTGTAATATTCGTTCCTACCAGCCCACCCCGCAGGGTCCTGTTATTTTTTCCGCCTGAGGACGACCGCTTGTGTTGCGATCGAAACGTCGTCGCGATTTATTTTATACCAACGTGACTTTACCAAAAAGGACCAAAGAGTATGGATTCCTACAGTCACAAAAGCTTCAAATAAAGATTTAATTAATAAAGTTGAATTTTCTCTCACCGTTTCTGTCTATTAATTAGATACCACGGGCACACCCTGCCGGCGTGCCGTCCCGGGCACACCGGCTGCGAAGCACCGCAATAAGAGGCCGTGGTTTGGCATCATCACAGCCCAACGACAAAGAAACCAAACCGCGACTTTGAATCGCGCCGATTCCTCCAGTGACTCGGGGGGGGGGGGGGTGCAGTGTGAACAGTTCCCGAGCCCCATCGCATGAGCACCACGGACAAACAGGAACGAGCCCACGCGTGCCGCTGTGGTGGATTTAAAACATTTATTTAAAACTTCCAATCATCACCGTTACGTTGACAAAACCGGCGGCAAAACACCTGTGGGGGAGATAAAGAAGAGAAGAGCGTGAGCGCAAATGGCAGCGACCAATCAAAACAAAGATCACCCTTTACAGCCTAAACAGACTTGGGGCGAGTGATTAGCGGGTAACTGTGAAGACTGGCACAGCGCACGAGGGGTGGGTGGCGAGAACCATGCCCAGCCACCGTTTGCTTCCTCAGTGCCGATGCTTCATGCGCACCGCACCAGATACTCATTTTAAGGCTGAGTAAACCAACCTCGGACAGGGCCAGGAACCAGTTCAGATAATGGCCACCAAAGTTGGCCGTGAGTAGAAATCGAGCAGATTCACACGGCATGTCTCGCATATAAGGTGGGGGGGTTACCGTTGGGTACCCCGTAAATGTTGAGGGAAGAAGAATTGGGTACTGCATACAATTCATATTACCTATTACCTTAAAAAAACATTACCAATCCATTATCTTACTCCGAGGGAGTTTGGTCACCGTGAACCCACCCCAACCCCATTGGTCCCCATCCAGCACTACCATCCCTTCATACCCTCCTACTGCTGCGCCTATGAAAAAAGTGGCGGGTATTAGAGAGAAAAAGAGTGGGGCATAAAAAGAAAGCGGTGGCGCCTAAAGAGAAAGAAGACGGGCTATAATCAGGAAGGCGTGCAGCCTACAGACGTTCAGCTTCCCTGTTGATTTAGGGTAGTAATAATTTCATTTTATACTGCAGTCATTCATGCTAATACCATCCTTGAATGCTGTATATTTCAATTATATATAGGGGACCAAATCGCAAATACAGTCACTACTACCAAGCAAATGAAAACCCTACTAATACCAAACAAAATCCAAAAATGCATAAATTAATTAAGAAATGGCATCAAATCAAAAAGCAGCACAAACAACAAAGTTATCACGAGAAAAAATAGTTAATGAGCTCTACTACACATCCTAGACCACAATCCCAACTTCCCAAACGAGCCAGGAAACCTCCACAGGAGGGGCAGTGGCATGAGTGGCCAAAAAGTTACATCTAATTTACATCAATCGTAAAGGTTTTTCTGGATTAGATCGCGTAAATATGTGCCGTTAACCCACCACTATCCGACACGGCCACTTAGTAAGGGGTTTGTCACGTAAACAAAACGTGTCATATTGGAACGTTTCATGGTGGGTTTATGGTGGATTAGGTGATCTATTAATTGAAGACCAATTTACCAACCGCGGCCTGGAAATTTGAGTATCCACGAATAAGCAGTCACATGACGCATGTTACGTCATTGCCTTGCGTGACGTTGTTAAAGACAACTGGTCTGATAGTTTTTATTTTTTCTTACGATTCCAGGAAATGGTTAATTTTAGCCCTTAATTATGGACCCGAAGCGTGCAGCGAGTGAAGGCTTCCGTCTGTGGCCTCCGTCTAAGCACCCCTTCCCCCATCAATATTTATATTAAAAGTATATGAAGTGAATGTAATGAGTATTCAGGTTTTGTTATGTTGTGTGATGCACTGTATTTTATTCGGTATTTAGTTAACAAATATGCAACTTAGTTAAGCTATGATGGGGGTGAGCGCGGCCGTGGTTCCCCTAGCCCCCTATTTCTCATAGGCTCCTGTACTTTACCAACCACGGATTTGCCTACCGCGACCTTTTCCAGGAACCTAACCCCCGCGGTTGGAGAGGTACTGCCGTATTCTAGGGACTGCTGTATTCTAAATAATCAATAACATTCTATTACAAGTCGTGAACCGACTAAACACTTGTGTGTTGTGCGAAGCCGGCCCCTGTGCTGACTTTGCCCGTGGCCCCCTAAGTAGCTGCGTACCCGTTCATGCGTCCTCGGTGGCGGCGGCCGGCTTGTCGGTGGCCGGCTTGTCGGTGGCGGGCGCGCCCTCGCCCACCTTGATGTTGCGCGTGTAGATGAGCTGAGACCGGTGCTTGGCAACGAGCTTGATGAGCCCTGCGCACCATAATCGCCGACACACACGCGCGTCAACGACGGTAACGCAGGGTGGTGGTGGCAACGCTGCCGGAGTACGAACAGGAGTTTGTTTTTTCTCCTCCTGTTCGTTCTGCAGAGATAGTAAGAGCAGTGAGTGCGAGTGTGTGGAGAGAGTTGTGGGGAGCAGCAGTGTAGTAGCAATTAGTGCTCTGCGAACCAGGCTACGAGAGTTCAATTCTCGCTCACGGCCAACACCGGTGACGATTATCTGTCACTTTTATTTGAATCATGGGGGGTTATATTTCACCATACCTCACCGCGCTAGTCAGTGCTGGTTAGTGACAGTGAAGAACATAATTTGGCGTGGTAACAATGTGGACGCTTGTGGGCCAGGCACCACCCTCTGTGGCGATGCAACATAACTATGGTGTCAGGATCCTTGCGTTTGCACAGATAATGCAGAACTTGCGGAAGGCATTACTCTGCGACTTGTAATGCAAGCGTTGCATTTTAGTGGAAGCTAGGATCTCAGCATCTCCCTTTCTCCTGTCCCTGTGTCTTCCTGTCTCCCCCCTATGTACCTGTCCTCTTCTCTTCTAGTGTTTGGGTCTGTGCCCGTATCTCTGTGCCTGGACACAACCCCATTTACCATCAATGTCTTTATTGTGTCCGCGTCTCCGTGTCTGCACTCGTGTCTCTACGTGCCTCGATGTCCGTTTCTCCCATTGTCGGTGTATCCCCCCCACCTGATGTGTCGAGTCTCTGTGTCCACGTATCTGTGTCTCGGCATGTCGACCTCAGTCTCCTGATGTTTTCCTGTGGGTCACTCCATCCCCGCATCTCCCTCAATCCCTGCGTCTCCCTATATCCTCCCCGCATTTCCCCACGTCTCCCCGTGTGTCCTCATCTCCGCATGACCACGCATCTTGCAATCTGTCCGTATCCCCCCGTGTGTCTGAGTTTCCCTGTGTGCCTTCATCTCCCCATGGCTATCCATCTCCCCATGGCTATCCATCTCTCCATGGTCACACGTCTTCCCAAGTGTCCCTGTGTCCCCCCGTGCATCCCTGCGCATGTACCCCGCGTCTCTCCCGCGCGTGTCTCACCCTTGGCGAGCAGCTCCTGCAGGGCGGCGCGCGCGAGGGAGCCGCGCACCTTGAGGCGCTCAGACACCACGGCGGGCGTGATGAGCTTGTAGTTGGGCACCTCCTTGAGCAGCTTGTCGTACGTGGCCTTGTCGAACAGCACCAGGTTGTTCAGCTTGTCGCGCACCTTCCCCTTCGACCACTTCTACTCCGCACGCGACACAATGTCGACGATCAGCAATGGCGGGCAATGGTCAACAGCGCACGGGTCACAAAAAACTACTACCCATCGACAACACAAGATTTTAACATTGGTCAAATGTTATCCACTTGTGTATATAGAATTGTACATGTTGTGGGTTTACTCTCCAACACACCGGTGTGCTGCACTAGTAACTAATTGGCATGATTTGTTTACATAACAAACCTTACAAATTGGCTGTGTCGGGTGGTGGCAGGTTTAATGACATTCATATTTATGCAATATCACAAAAAAATATTATAGATATATGGCTTTGCTCTCTCGGTCCTTCAGTTTCCTCTCTAAAATTGGCCAAACATTCCCATTTTAGGCCGCCCACCATAGTGTCTCATAAATAGAGGGCAATACCTGAGAAACAGTTGCGTCCCAAACAAAAACACTACTCAAGAACTGACCAATGGAACAGCCCTAATTTTTTCTCTGCTGCTCCAACAACATTGGGAACCGCTTCTCAACCACGTCCTCCCATAAGTGGAATGATCGAGGACTCCACCAAACTGCCAATGCGGCGAGATGCAAACCATCAGCCGCGCATCACTGACTACTGCCCAACCAACCCAGATACTGCAGAATGACTCAAAACAATAAATGTACAATTGTAGCCTGCTGCTCGTTGCTTAAGCGCCATACGCCGAAAGACGGCCACTGGGTGTTATCCTGTCTTTTACTTACCTTCTTCTTGGCCTTGCCTCCGGCCTTGTTGGCCGCATCTTTGTCTTTGCGCGGGGCCGATTTGGAGTCGGCCTTCTTTTTCTGGTCTTTGGGCGGCTGCGGGAGAGGCAGGGGGAGTTGCATTAATATTTTTTGTGTGAGTTTAGTTTTTTGTCCTTCCAAGATCGCACCTCCAATTAGCACGGTTGGATACGTACATGCTAAAAACGTTCAACATACGTAAGGTAAAATATCACCTCGTTATTCGCGGGGGATTCATTCTAGAGATATTCGTGGATAGCAAACTTCGTGGATATTGGCCAACGAAAACCAATCTTTGTAAAGAATGACCTTAAATACATACACAAGCTATTAAATGGAAATTAACATGTTTTTTTTCGAATAATAAACATGAAATACCAATGCAGTTATGTAGAGTTCCAGATGTGATTCGCGGATAGCCAAAATTGTGGATAGCAAGTTCGTGAATAACGTGCCAAGCCACACGCACTTGCCCCCGAGTTGCCAGAACATGCTTCCTGGACAGAAGCTCCCTTCGCTCTGCTGTGCGGATATGGAACTGCCTCCCTAAACACGATCGGCAAAATCACTCATTCTTGTCTTCAGGCCTTCAAATGCCGAGACCACGGATATCTCTCCTAACTCAGCCACACGCCTTGTAGGACTGAGTCTTTGTGGTTCAGTGAACAGATGCTACCGATGAGATGTACTAATATCAAATATAGCTATTGTTCAGAATTGCACCCGACTAAACAAATTCTATATCGCATGTCACACCGAGCCCTGGGGACATGCCAACAAATCTTCCGACTATCGTGGGGCGAGTGGGAACCGTCTTGCCTGCCAGATTTTCACGAGACCATTACCATAACGGCCCCCATTTTCCCACCTAATCTTGTTGGAATTCTAAACAATCGCTCCTGCTACAAAGGAAGCCTTTTGCTGTCACTCTTGCCGCTTCGGACCGGGAACGATATCGGACAAACCCACCCAGTGGTTCACGCTCGCCCCCTTGCTAGAATCATTCTCGTGTGTTCAAGTCTGTTCTTCCATAACATGTGTTGTTTACATAACGCAAATTGGAATAACGCGATGACTATATTATGGAACGCATATTTTATAACGCAGATGCGAATAGAATATAACGCTATTGAATCATGTATGCTTTGCCTTAATTTCCCCAATCCGGTATTTTGGAAATATCCTATTTAGTTATAATTGAATGAATAGCCCGAGTGAGAATGCATCCCCCTCCTTTCCCTACTAACTCTTCCGATTTGAATTTATCCGCCGCTTTCTTCCTACAACCTCTCTACGATCCCAAATTCCCTCATTTCTAAATGCTCCCGATGCTTTCATTATATAAAAAAAGGTTACATCGCAAAAGAATGCGGTCACACCCACGCAAGCATACACCTAGGCCTTGTTGATGTAAACAAAATAACCGTGACACTTAAAGTCTGAAAGTGACCACCACCCGCAATGAGCCTGGATAGGGTTGGGTGACCACCAAGACATGTTCCTGCTGCTGCAGGTTGTGTGCTACATGGTGGGCAGTAGATAGCAGTGAAACAAAATTCACTTACACCGCGCCCCCCCTGCTCCGTACATGTTTTCACGTTTATACTCATACGCTCTTACCACAGTAGTGAAGAATGGTAAAATAACACCACCCACATACTCATACAAGGCATGGTGGTGGGGCTCTCATCCAGCAGCTGATTCGCAAAAGGTGCTGGCAATACATTGTTATCCGTCAATGGCTGCCTAATAATAATAATGAATTATACTTGTGTCAAATATACTTATGGATTAACCCCCCCCCCCCAACGCTGTGTCTCGCTCGTGGGGGTTGAGTTGACTTCACCGCACTGGTCAGAGCGAGGAGTTTATGAATTGGGGTGTCCCGGGGGAGCAGTTAAAATATTTCACGCGACACTTGATGTTGAACCAGTGATGCGATTCACACACGCGATCCAACGCACGCACATGTTGCGGCGAACTTAACAATGGATCCGTGTAGTCTCCCCATAGAATCGCCTCGATTAGTTGGACGAGCTTCATTGTCGCCCTTCTGTCGTTCCTACCACGGTTCCCACTGTCCCCTGAAATTGCACTCTTTGATTCATTTAATCAGACCGATGGCTGGGTCTACAAAACATTCGCTTCACTCAACCACTCGTCCACCCAAACACCACTGCAAGGTCACCTCACGTTTCGTCGTCCGTACTACTCCACTTTGGGAGATTCCATCCCGTAATCATAGGCTCTTCTCCCCCCAAGCTTTTAACAATGCCTGCTTTGCTCGACTCAAAAGATACGTGTTACACTTCAATCCATGACACCTTCAACAGCGCTGCGTTACGGCCGCTTGACGTGTTTATCCCGTGCTCAGAAACCGCGATACAAACGCTGCGGACCACTGCACGCATCTCGAGTGCGGTGGCGCAGTTGTTACCGCGATGCGCGACGAACCCCACGGCCACCATCAGTGCCTCAGGGTGATTGTAACACGCGATGAAGCGGATGTCTCAACACCTTCCCCCGTCCGTCCTCTACACATCAACCCACGCAGGGAGCAGCGCGGTGAAGTATGGCCAGAGCAGCCCCGCGACGCCGCAGACACAAATGGGAGCCACGAGATTAGACTGCGCACATTTCCGAACGCAGCGCTGCCTCCCATAAAAAAAACATCGGCCGCTCTATAAACCACCGCGAGCCTCTTGCAAAGCGCCGTCAGGCTCAGCCCCTCTCAACAAGCCCAGATAATAATAAACCCGCGAGTTATAATTCGCGATACATTTCTCCACAGGCTGACACGAGGCCTCGCCTGGCGAAGCCTGCGTCGCCAGGCCGCGCGGCCTCTGCAAGCAAATAAAATTGCGAATCGTCGTAGTTGACGAGCGAATTAATCCCGAGGCAGGCTCTCGCCCTCCGCCGCGTCTCTGCCGGCTTGGGGGAAGACGCGAAGAGAGACTCGCGGAGAGACGCGCGGAAAGCCGGGGCGGACGCGAGGAGGAGCGCAGCGCACTACCCACCATGATGGAGCTGAGAGAGAGAAGGAGGAGGGGGGGGCAGGGAACCGGAAACACGCGCACGGTGACGTCACATCCGGGAGCACCAACTGCCATCTTACGCGGGAAGATGCCCGTCCGCCATCTTACGTGGGTAACGTTTTACGTAATAATTTTTTTTTTATCATTTTACTTTGATCATTAGTTTCATTGGTAGTTATATACAAGGTGTTTTAAAAAGATGGGCCCGATTTCAAAGGAGATTTAAAAGCAGTACTGCTTTGAAATTGGGTCCATCTTTTTAAAATACCCTGTATATGTTACTTTTGTAGAAAACGTTGCACAGTAGGCACTACTAGGAAACATATAAACATGCAATCATCAAACCTTATGGTATGAAGTGCAGTTTCTTACTCTTATCAAATACATCTCCCTGGCCGATCTTACGAAGGGATCGAGTCCAACCACCATCTTACGTGGGGACCGAGCCCAAACCGCCATCTTACGCAGGGATTGAGTCCAACCGCCATCTTCCGTGGGGACCGAGCCCAAAGCGCCATCTTAGGTAGGGAAGGCGTTGGCAGTTCCAACTGCTCACGCTCCTGCTGGCGGAAGAGTGGTCCTCTTCTAGGGGGAGCTGTCTCGGCAATCGGCACTCCGCACATTCAGCACAAGTGTCAGAAGGCCGCATGTGGATGATGGGATGTGTAACATACTGTACTTTTATTTACGTGAATAAGTCAATAAAGGAGGAAGGGAATAATCGAAAGGCACTGTGTGGCTGATGGGATGTGTAAGGGGCCGTCCATAAATGACGTCACGCGATTTTGGACGATTTTTACCGCCCCCCCTCTCGACACACGGCGTCACAAAAAGTCAGACCCCCCTCAAATATGACGTCACAAAGCTCTGCCCCTCCCCCCCATTTATTTTTCAAACATGCTTCAAATCGCTTTAAACTATTGTCATTGTAGTGCGCATTTAATGTGGCGCTGCACTCGGATGTTGTAGGAGAAAATATTTATTAAAAAGACTATTTAATTAAGTAGAACGTGTTGTCTGTATTTATTTAAATTTGCGCATTTTCATGTGACGTCACATGATAAGCAACGTGGACAAATCTTTGGTAGTATCAAAGATTTGTCCATGAGGCCATCCAGATATACAAACACAGACATAACTTCAACCGAGATGATGGATTCAGATTGAGCAATCATTGAAAAGATGTAATTAACCAAGTTAAACTTTAGTTTCCGTGCAGTTTACTGATAGACAGCCAGTTTAGATGTATCATGTTTAGCTTATTTTTTCACACGCTGGTGGCCTGATTTGAATTTTACCCACCCAGCAGCATAAGAAAATGCGGCTTAACCCTAGCTTGCTTATCTACTTCTGCCATCTACATTACAAAGGCTCAGTTCCAGCAGCTGTACTGACCATCTCACAACAACTCCTCTCCCGCGGCCCATCCTGGCTCCTCCCCCCTTAGCTACTATATATAAGCTCTCTTGGGACTGCTCTTCACTTGATACAGCAATTTTGCTGTGACGGTTTCACCTGAAGGCGGAAGCGTGTGTTGCCTCCGAAACGTCGTGATTTAATTTATTTGCGTTCCTTTTTTAACCTACGTGACTTTACCGAAAAAACCAAAGAGTAGGAATCCTTGCGGTCACGAAAGCTTCAAGTCTAGAAGAAGGAAGGGAATAATCTAGGCGAATGTTTTGGTTACTCTTTGGTTCTTTCGGTAGAAATAAAATAATAATAGAATACGATGTTTCGATTGCAACACAAGCAAGCATCATCAGGTACAAATGAATGAGAAAAAAACGACTTATAATTTATCAATCTTTGGAAGAACGTAATCAACCAGGCTATGCGTTAACTGTGTGCTAACCGACTCTATGTGTTGCATTGCATTACACTTCCTAATTATGCTAAATTTGCTTTCTACCGTGCTTGTTCCGTGCTTGTTTCTAAGTCCATTCTCTCCTCTGGCCGCTTTGGGCAGTAATTCCACACAACTCCCCTTCTGCCCCACCCCCCCTCTCTATTTAAGGCCTCGACACAGAGACGTTGTCTTTCTGTGTGCCTATGTGTGTGTCTCTCTCTGTTTGTCTCTGTATAAGTCTCTCTCTGCTTGTGTGTCTGTCTATGTGTCTCCGTGTCTATGTTTTGTCTCTGTCTCTAAAATTTTGCAATCTTTGGAAGAACGTAATCAACCAGGTGTGGTGTTGACTGTTGTGTTGGCCGACTCTCTGTGTTGTATTGCATTATATTTCTAAGTTTACTGGGTTTGTTTTCTCATTCATTTGTACCTGATGATGGTTGCTTGTGTTGCAATCGAAATGTTGTATGCTATTATTTAATTTCTTTCTACGTGACTTTACCGAAAGAACCAAAGAGTAACTCCTGCAGTGACGAAAGCTTCGAATCTAGTTTGAATGTTTTGGTCTCATTGCGTTTTGGGGAAGGCGAGTTGGGGGGGGGGGGGTAGCGCAGTTTTTATAGAAGTGCAATAGTCCGGTGGTGACGGACGCCTGCAATTATTTCAGTTTTTCAGTTTCATTTATTTGGTATAGCCCTGTGAGCCATTTGGCTCTTGAATCGGGTGCAACAAACAGAAAACAAAAACATGAACAAAAAACATCTTAATGTGACTAAGTGCAAACAAAAAAATCCAAGAAAATACAGCAAAATATTGCAGAAAAAGCACCGTACACCAACACTGTGTGCAAAAATCTCAGTGGGATGCAAGTCAAACAACTACAACCACCACAAGACAACTTAGATTAAGGCCATCAGTCTAACTCCTTACTACAACAAACATGGCCAAACCAAAAAACTTTTCGAAATCACCAAAATAAAGCCATAAAAGCAATGTAACAGTGATCATAGGAACTATGACCGAATTTTCACAATAAACGACATAAACAACATGGACCACCAAACCCGTGCAGGCGAGTGTTGGTGGATCACCACACACACAGATGCTGTGCAACTCACTCATGGGCATTGACAATGAGCCGTATAACCCTGGCTCGCCAGGAAATAGTGGCACGGCAATAATGCGTGGACTCCACCTTGATTCGAAGCTTTCGTGACTGCAGGAATCCATACGCTTTGGTTTAAAGTCACGTAGGTAGAAATTAAAATAAATCACGACGTTTCGGGCGCAACACACGCGTCCGTCATCAGGTAGGAAAAGCCTTTTCCCACCTTTTCGTCGTGATTTATTATATTTTATACCTACGTGACATTCCCGAAAGAACCAAAGAGTATGGACTCCACCTGTTCCCTCTGAACGGGTAAGCGATTCTCCGCACCTCTGATTAGCACGGTTGGCTTACGTGTACGGTGCGAAAGAAGTTTCAACATACATAGAGACCCACAGACTCACGTATACGCACAAACTTACAACACACACCTACAGACTCAGAGACCCTTAGACTGACACAGAAACCCATAGACTCACGGAGACCCTTTAACATAACAGGACCCTGCGGGGTGGGCTGGTAGGAATAATACTAATACCGGTACAGGGATATCGACCGGGTATAGAGGCGTTAAAAAGAAAATGATTTGTGCATGGGGGGTGAGCGATGACGTCCACACACCCCTCCCCACTGACTCGCGCGCACACAGAGCAATGACGTCAACACCCCCCTCCCCACTGACTCGCGAGCCCACAGAGCGATGACGTCAACACCCCCCTCCCCACTGACTCGCGCGCACACAGAGCAATGACGTCATCACCCCCCTCCCCACTGACTCGCGCGCACACAGAGCAATGACGTCAACACCCCCCTCCCCACTGACTCGCGAGCCCACAGAGCGATGACGTCAACACCCCCCTCCCCACTGACTCGCGCGCACACAGAGCAATGACGTCAACACCCCCCTCCCCACTGACTCGCGAGCCCACAGAGCGATGACGTCAACACCCCCCTCCCCACTGACTCGCGCGCACACAGAGCAATGACGTCATCACCCCCCTCCCCACTGACTCGCGCGCACACAGAGCAATGACGTCATCACCCCCCTCCCCACTGACTCGCGCGCACACAGAGCAAGGACGTCATCACCCCCCTCCCCACTGACTCGCGAGCCCACAGAGCGATGACGTCCACACCCCCCTCCCCACTGACTCGCGCGCACACAGAGCAAGGATTGCAACAGGCGATGTCATTGGCTGCGCCGGATGCGACGGCCATCTTGTTTAGTTCATTTAGTTCACGGATCGCAGGGGGAGCGGGCGGCCATCTTGTCAGACAGACGGACGGCCTCGCGAAGCCTGTCGCAGTAGGCCTCGCGAAGCCTCCTGCACTAGGCCTCGCGAAGCCTCCTGCAGTAGGCCTCGCGAAGCCTTCCTGCACTAGGCCTCGCGAAGCCTTCCCTGCAGTAGGCCTCGCGAAGCCTTCTCTGCAGTAGGCCTCGCGAAGCCTTCTCTGCAGTAGGCCTCGCGAAGCCTTCTCTGCAGTAGGCCTCGCGAAGCCTTCTCTGCAGTAGGCCTCGCGAAGCCTTTTCCGCAGTAGGCCTCGCGAAAGCCTGCCGCACTAGGCCTCGCGCCGTGCTTTTCGTGCACAAATAAGGCGATTAAATGTATTTTGTCTCTGTGTTAATAAATGTATCTTGTCTCTGTGTTAAAAAAACGTGCTGCGTTTCAGTAAAGTAAATTTGAAGCGAAGTTTATTATTACACTTGTTAAGCCAGGAAAGCCCCACTGAGTCAAAAGGTTTTTGTAGGGTCCTGCCAAGTGTTTGCAGTAGGGGGCGATGTTGCTACACCTAATCGGACGATACGAAGGGAGAGATTGAGGCCTAGTTCGAGGCTTTAGGCCTAGCTGTAGGCTTTAGGGCGCTGTGAGTTAATTTTTTATTTAAATGTTTTAATGATTTATGTAAAAGCTTTAAATTTAAATGTTTCTATTTAAAAACATGAGGGAATGTAATATTGTTAAACATAACTCCCTTTCACACACGCGGGGGTACGATACGAAGGGAGAGTTTCAGGCCTAGTTGTAGGCTTTAGGCCTAGCTGTAGGCTTTAGGGCGCTGTGAGTTTTTTTATTTAATTTCAAAGTTTTAATTAAAAGCTATCTCAGGGAATAAGGGAATGTTACACGTGTCATGCCAAGTGTTTGCAGTAGGGGGCGATGTTGCTACCAGGATAGCGTCACTGAGTCTAAAGGTTTTTGTAGGGTCATGCCAAGTGTTTGCAGTAGGGGGCGATGTTGATACACGGACGGACGGACAGTCGGACGGACGGACAGTCGGACGGACACATTAATCTATTGGTGGTCTGGTCCACTTCGTTCCTACCAATATAAAGGGACCAATATACTCACAGAGCCATAGACTTACGTGGATATCCAGTGGTTTACATAGAGACTCATAGATCCGCATATAAATCTATAGAATCACATAGAGACCCCATACACTCTGAAATGCAGACTCGTTTAAAGACCCAAAGACTCATAGCTTGAAATTGTATTTCTTTATAAACTTCGTGTTGTGTTTATTTCGTTATTCTCCCGGTTCTCCGGTTTTCTCGTCGTCTGGCAACACCCTTCATATATAGAGGACGGCAGAGCTTGGGAAATCGTTGTGAAGCGCCGCCTCCTCTGCCACCTGACGTGGGGAAGGTGTGAAGGATGTCGTGGGTTCGATCCCTACGCTGAAACCTGTACATTTTGAGTTTGCATTTTCTTCCAATGGTTGCGTGGATTTTTCTCCGGTGTTTTATTTTATACAAGCTTAAGAGTACAAACGTTTAGAATATTTGACTGCTATACACTTCCACGTGAGAATCCACTTCGTTGAGCTATGATTTGTGGTCAGGTGGCATCTGAATACGAACAATATAGCTCAGTGGCCCTTACCTGGTAAAATAAGTATACGTGTTATCTTATTTATGCTGTTACTTATATTCTCCACAACGACGCTAACAATGATTACACTGTAACAATTTTTTGGTTCCTGGGTAGTAAGTGTTATTATCTAATTTCTTAAGCCTCAAAAGGCTATTATTCCCCACAAACTTTTCTTTTGTGACTAGGACAGTGATATTTTGAAAGGTGCCTAATTTGAATGAGAAAACGTGGTGTGCATTTGTGTCATTCCTTCACATAAAGTCCTGGTCACAAAAGCACCCCCAGGTAAGATGGCGGCCATCTTCACACATTGCGATGACGCCATTTCCGCTCTACACCCGCCCCCTGACCCTCCGCTTCTTCAAACATTGCGATGACGTAATTTCTACTTTACAACATCCTCGTCCAATCACGCGCGGGCTCCTGTGGGCCAGGGCGCGCGTTCTCGCCGCCGATTGGTCCGTCAGGCGCGGCGCGTCTGGCTCACAACGCGGCAGTGGCGGCATCGCGGGAGCCGGCGCTGTTGGGTGAGGGGGGGGGGCGCAGAGAGAGTTGTGGGACAGAGCGAGTGGTGGGGGCAGAGAGAGAGTGGTGGGACAGAGAGTGGTGGGACAGAGCGAGTGGTGGGGGCAGAGCGAGTGGTGGGACAGAGCGAGTGGTGGGGCAGAGAGAGTGGTGGGACAGAGAGTGGTGGGACAGAGCGAGTGGTGGGGACAGAGCGAGTGGTGGGACAGAGAGAGTGGTGGGACAGAGCGAGTGGTGGGGACAGAGCGAGTGGTGGGGCAGAGAGAGTGGTGGGACAGAGAGTGGTGGGACAGCGAGTGGTGGGGGCAGAGCGAGTGGTGGGGACAGCGAGTGGTGGGGGCAGAGAGAGTGGTGGGACAGAGCGAGTGGTGGGACAGAGAGAGTGGTGGGGACAGAGCGAGTGGTGGGGGCAGAGAGAGTGGTGGGACAGAGCGAGTGGTGGGACAGAGCGAGTGGTGGGACAGAGCGAGTGGTGGGACAGAGCGAGTGGTGGGACAGAGCGAGTGGTGGGACAGAGCGAGTGGTGGGACAGAGCGAGTGGTGGGACAGAGAGTGGTGGGACAGAGCGAGTGGTGGGACAGAGCGAGTAGTGGGACAGAGCGAGTGGTGGGACAGAGCGAGTGGTGGGGGCAGAGAGAGTGGTGGGACAGAGCGAGTGGTGGGGGCAGAGAGAGTGGTGGGACAGAGCGAGTGGTGGGACAGAGCGAGTGGTGGGGGCAGAGAGAGTGGTGGGACAGAGCGAGTGGTGGGGGCAGAGAGAGTGGTGGGACAGCGAGTGGTGGGACAGAGCGAGTGGTGGGGGCAGAGAGAGTGGTGGGACAGAGCGAGTGGTGGGGACAGAGCGAGTGGTGGGACAGAGCGAGTGGTGGGACAGAGCGAGTGGTGGGGGCAGAGCGAGTGGTCGGACAGAGCGAGTGGTGGGGGCAGAGAGAGTGGTGGGGGCAGAGAGAGTGGTGGGACAGAGCGAGTGGTGGGGGCAGAGAGAGTGGTGGAACAGAGAGTGGTGGGACAGAGCGAGTGGTGGGGGCAGAGAGAGTGGTGGGACAGAGCGAGTGGGGGGGGCTGGTGAGGGGTGGGTGAGGTGCACAAGCCGCAGGTGAGTCGTGCTCACAAACTCGTCAGCTCCCCCACGCTTTACCTGTGGTGGGGGTATCATTATGATGATGATGATTGCTGCCATTCCGCTTGTGTTTTACCTCGGGAAACTCACCGACTCTCACGACTCTTGTCAGGAGCAGAGGGGGGGGGGGGTGATGTTGATGCTGTGTATGTGGGGGCCCATGTTTGATTGTCTGAATCGGTCCTGGGCCTCCCCCTCGGTCGACTTGGCCTCAAGTGAATCCCTGGTGCGGTGTGCAGTAAACATCGCCACTGGGGAGACAAAGGCGGCCGGGCGTAGTCCTGGCCGCCTACCGCCTCGTGTGCCGTGCCGGCCTTCACAGGTGCTACTCGCTAACAGCACTCGCCCCAAACAGTCTGTTGGTGCTTTACGGGGGTGACCTTTGCATTGAGTGAATTATCGGTCGTTGTTTCCGCATTGCCGATATTTGGCCAATACCAGTCGCACTGCGTCCCCTCCTTTATCTGTGTTTGCACCACGTGGAGCCCTCTAAAGGGACGTCTGCGCCGGTTAGAGAAACATTCAGGCTGGCCCTGCACACGATCCATCCTGGGCTTTACCAGCAGGCAGGATTGCGTGCTGAGCTCACAAATCCTTGACAGATCTGGACACAGTCCCATCGGTGAGCTCCTCTGGCAGGCGAGGCTTGCGTTGGCTGGGTCATTGTAGCCCGCATGCCAAGCCACCGCATACCCAAACAGCTTATTATGAAGAAAATAATAAGAATAAGTTTTACCCTTTCTGGAAATAAAAAAGGTGTTAAGATGTTCAAACACCAAATAGAAACATTTTGCAAAGAACCATGTCTGCATGAACCAACCACACATGCTTGTGGTGGACATGCAAACAAACATGCTCTGACAACAATGCATGGCATTTTCTTTGAAACTGATCGGATAGAGGGGGCTAAACGGGCGCGACACGGGACTGGGGAAGAGATGGGGCTTGAAGCGTGCGGAGCAGAGTGACCTCGCCGATGGCCCTGAGTGGCCTCGCCGATGGCCCTGAGTGACCTCGCCGATGGCCCTGAGTGGCCTTGCCGATGGCCCTGAGTGGCCTCGCCGATGGCCCTGAGTGACCTCGCCGATGGCCCTGAGTGGACTCGCCGATGGCCGTGAGTGGACTCGCCGATGGCCGTGAGTGGACTCGCCGATGGCCGTGAGTGGACTCGCCGATGGCCCTGAGTGGCCTCGCCGATGGCCGTGAGTGGCCTCGCCGATGGCCCTGAGTGGACTCGCCGATGGCCGTGAGTGGGCTTGCCGATGGCCCTGAGTGGCCTCGCCGATGGCCCTGAGTGGCCTCGCCGATGGCCCTGAGTGGACTCGCCGATGGCCGTGAGTGGACTCGCCGATGGCCGTGAGTGGCCTCGCCGATGGCCGTGAGTGGCCTCGCCGATGGCCGTGAGTGGCCTCGCCGATGGCCCTGAGTGGACTCGCCGATGGCCGTGAGTGGGCTTGCCGATGGCCCTGAGTGGCCTCGCCGATGGCCCTGAGTGGACTCGCCGATGGCCGTGAGTGGACTCGCCGATGGCCGTGAGTGGCCTCGCCGATGGCCGTGAGTGGCCTCGCCGATGGCCCTGAGTGGACTCGCCGATGGCCGTGAGTGGACTCGCCGATGGCCGTGAGTGGACTCGCCGATGGCCCTGAGTGGCCTCGCCGATGGCCCTGAGTGGCCTCGCCGATGGCCGTGAGTGGCCTCGCCGATGGCCGTGAGTGGCCTCGCCGATGGCCCTGAGTGGACTCGCCGATGGCCGTGAGTGGACTCGCCGATGGCCCTGAGTGGCCTCGCCGATGGCCCTGAGTGGCCTCGCCGATGGCCGTGAGTGGCCTCGCCGATGGCCGTGAGTGGCCTCGCCGATGGCCGTGAGTGGACTCGCCGATGGCCCTGAGTGGACTCGCCGATGGCCGTGAGTGGACTCGCCGATGGCCCTGAGTGGCCTCGCCGATGGCCCTGAGTGGCCTCGCCGATGGCCGTGAGTGGACTCGCCGATGGCCCTGAGTGGCCTCGCCGATGGCCCTGAGTGGCCTCGCCGACGGCCGTGAGTGGACTCGCCGATGGCCGTGAGTGGACTCGCCGATGGCCGGTAGCAGCGGTGTCAAGATCGGCCTCTGTGGGTCAGAGGAGGAGGAGGCTCGTGAAGGACGCTGCTGCTCCTGGGCAGCTGGGAGGCAGTCGCCCTCCATCAACATCGACGGAAGGCAGAAGGATCATTTCGGGTTCAGTTACTGTCGCACTACACTGCATGCTACCCCCCCCCCCCCTATACAGTAGTACATCTCTGAGTGTTAGGGGCCGTCCATAAATTACGTCACGCACCTAGGGGGGGGGGGGGTTGAGAAATGTGACGTCACATCAAAATGCGCAACTTTAAATAAATATAGACAACACGTTCTACTAAATTAAGTAGACTTTTTAATACATATTTTTCCTACAAATTCAGTGCAGCGGCACATTAAATACGCACTACAATGACAATAGTTTAAAGCGATTTGAAGCATGTTTTTTTTTGGGGTGGGGGGGCTTTGTGACGTCATATTTAAGGGGGGGTCTGACTTTTTGTGACGGCGTGTGACGAAGGGGGGGGGGGGTCAAAAATTCTCCACAATCGCGTGACGTCATTTATGGACGGTCCCTTAGCTGCTGTACGCGCACAGGTAGCGAAACTCAACCACCATCCGTTGTCAAGAACCACACCGCGTCTGGGTGTGTGGACGATGATACAATTGACGATGTTTCGGGCAGCGGTCCTCCAGAGCACATGAAATATGCCAGAAGAGAGTGGGAGTCGGCACTTGCTTACAACTCTGGGGCCATCTTCTTGGTTCTTTCGGTAAAGTCACGTAGAAGGGAAGTAATAAAATTATAAAAATAAAACATAATAAAACAATTCTCACGACGTTTCGGCCACAACGCAAGCAGCCGTCCTCAGGTGAAGAATGAGACAATGCCAAGCTAGGAGCTTATATATAAGCTGCGTTGGAGGTGGAAGAAAGAGTGCCTTAACTAAAGAATGTGCATATAGCATATAGCATATAGTTAAGGCACTCTTTCTTCCACCTCCAACGCAGCTTATAAATAAGCTCCTAGCTTGGCATTGTCTCATTCTTCACCTGAGGACGGCTGCTTGCGTTGTGGCCGAAACGTCGTGAGAATTGTTTTATTATGTTTTATTTTTATTATTTTATTACTTCCCTTCTACGTGACTTTACCGAAAGAACCAAGAAGATGAATCCCTGCAGTCACGAAAGCTTTAAATCGAAATTTAACTCTGGGGCCCTGCTGAGAATCGCGTGTTTAATGATGCCCCCAGTGTTGTTAGTCGGCTTTATGGAATGCTGTACAGGTTGCATCGAACATTACTATTAGGTAGCGGACACAGCACTCCGTGACTGTCCAGGTAAATGCACCCAGTCAGAGTGACTCAGCACACTTGTGCACTGCCACCGCGCCCGGCAACGCCGACACGTCGAGACACGCCCTGGTGATGGCAATGGTCGACCTCCCCGTCTCCCCCCAGTGGGCCCCCCACCTCACCCCTCCCCCAGTGGGCCCCCCACCTCACCCCTCCCCCAGTGGGCCCCCCACCTCACCCTTCCCCCAGTGGGCCCCCAACCTCACCCCTCCCCCAGTGGGCCCCCCACCTCCCTCCCTCTCCCAGTGAACCCCCAGTGGACCCCCCACCTCACTCCCTCCCACCTCACTCCCTCCCCCAGTGGGCCCCCACCTCCCTCCCCCAGTGGGCCCCCACCTCCCTCACTTAGCAGGCCCACTATCCCTCAGCGAGCCCACGTGGACAGGTGTGTGTGTGTGACAGTCACAGGTGTGTGTGTGTGACAGTCACAGGTGTGTGTGTGACAGAGTCACACAGGTGTGTGTGGGACAGGGTCACACAGGTGTGTGTGTGTGGGACAGGGTTACACAGGTGTGTGTGTGGGACAGGGTCACACAGGTGTGTGTGTGGGACAGGGTCACACAGGTGTGTGTGTGTGACAGTCACAGGTGTGTGTGTGTGTGACAGTCACAGGTGTGTGTGTGTGTGACAGTCACAGGTGTGTGTGGGACAGAGTCACAGGTGTATGTGTGACAGAGTCACAGGTGTGTGTGGGACAGGGTCACACAGGTGTGTGTGTGTGTGGGACAGGGTCACACAGGTGTGTGTGTGTGTCAATTTGTGTAGCACTTCCAACAACAATCTGTTCAGGCTGTACCGGGGATTTTTATCTCCGTAGGAGAGTGAATGTTGTTGGAAGCGATGGCACAGTGGTTAACGCGCTGCAGAAGCGGTCCTCGGCCCTCCTCTAGGTGGACTCGGCCTCGAACGAGTACTCGGTGCGGTGTGTTAAAACTTCGCCATTGGGCAAGGCGTGGTGCTGGCCACCCACCCCCGCGTGTGCCGTGGTGGCCTTTATAGGTGCTCGCTAACAGCACTTACCGCAACAGTCTCTGAAGGCTATAGGGGGATCTTTGTCTTTGTAGGAGAACGCGAGAGTGTGAAAGTGAGTAGGTATGGGTGGTGTATGGAAAACATTTGAAACTGCTACTGATACTCCTGCTGTTATGGAGTGACTCATGCAGCCAGCTGTGGCTGCAAATTTTGGTCGTACATGTTATGTATATCGTTTATTGTTACATTTGAATCACAGTTCCTATGATCACTGTTACATTGTTTTTATAGCTTTATTTTGGTGATTTTGAAAACATTTTGGTTTGGCCATGTTTGTTTGTTGTAGTACAGAGTTAGCCTGCTAACTTGAATCTAAATTGTCTTGTGGTTGTTATTGTTTGACTTGCATCCCACTGGATTTTTGCACACAGCGTTGAAATACGGTGTTTTTTCTGGAAGACTTTGCTGTTTTTTCCTGGATTTTTCTGTTGCGTGTAGTCACTTTAAGATGTTTCTTGTTCATGTTTTTGTTTGTTGCATTTGCACCCGAGTCAAGAGCCGCCTGGCTCACAGGGTTATACCTAATAAATGAAATGAAACTGAGAGAGAGTGAGTGAATGTATGAATGTGTGTTTGTGCTTGGTGCAAGAAGGTAGTAGGTGCTCGCTCACAGCACTTTCCCCAACAGTCCGTGTAGGCTATACGGAGGATCTTTGTCTTTTGTGAGTGTGCGTTTGTGTGAGGGTGTCGAATTGTACGTGTCTGAATCTTCCGGTTTCTTTGAGTCTGTATGTGTGTGCCAGTGTATGTGCATTGTCTGTTCGCCTCGATCTTGTGTTTGTATCTGTTCGTGAATGTGGGGGGGAGCGGTGGCATAGCGGGTCGCGCACTGCGCTACGAACCCGGCCACCCGATTTCAATTCCCACTCACGGGAAACACCATCGATGATTGTCTGATCCTGGTCCTGGGCATCTCCTAGGTCGATTCAACCTCAAATGAGTACTTGCTGCAGTGTGTAAGCATCAGCACTGGGGAGACAATGCGATCAGGCGAATATCTGTGAAGGCTATAAGGGATCTTTTTTTAGTGCCTGTTGATGCCTGTGGGAAGCTGCAGTGTGGTGGTTAACACACGACACTACGAACCCGGCGACCCAAGTTCGATTCCCCTTTCACAGATACATCAGCGGCAGTCATCTGAACCAGCCCTTAGGCGCCTCTCCTAGATCGACTACGATACATTCCTCCTGGTGCGGTATGTATCGCGTCAGTACTGGCGTGGCGCTGGCCACACCACCTCCCCTCATGAGCCGTGCCAGCCTTCATGGGTACTTGCCATAAACAGTCTGTTCAGGCTACGTGGGGGATCTTCATCTTTGTGTGCGAGTGAGTGGAGTTTGTGTGTTCTTCCTCTGGGTTTATTCCTATAGCTAAAGACAACAAACAGTCCGATCTCCTATAAAGCAGTGGTAGTTGCATTCCTGAAGAACACCACGTTATGGAACAATTATAACAGGAACAAACCGCGTTATATTAACCGTTTGGTAGCACGTGAGATGCGTAACAAAGACCGATCAAAGACTGAGGCGTGGTGGGTAGCATCTAGAAGCATCCAGCAGCATCCCACCTTGTACAGCTGCTTATACCTACTCGCCAGATGTAGTTCCGCTCGTTCAATCTCGTTATATCACAACTCGCATCCGTATTCTAAAAAAAAATGTTCCCTATGATACATTCATCGCGTTATATATCCAGTTCGCATTATGAAAACACGCGGCTTTTGCAGAACGGACTAGCACCACCCTCCTGCAAAAGGCGTCTTGAGACTCGTTGAGGCTTTCCTGGGCAAACGAGTGGAAGAGGTAACGATGATACTTTGTCTGTGTCGGTTGTAGGTGGCGGAAGGAGAAGCAATGATGCTCGCAGTAACCATACAGATACTGCTGGGTGAGTGGCACCCCTACGCACGCGCACCACACCAACACGAAGACAACGATTAATGCAGACATGATTCCTTGCAAACGGTTTCTATTTGGTGTTTTAACATCTTAACACAACTGTTTTATTTCCAGAAAGGGTAAAACCTATTCTTATTCTTTTCTTAATAATAAGCTGTTTGGGTATGCGGTGGCTTGGCATGCGGGCTTCAATGACCCAGCCAACGCAAGCCTCGCCTGCCAGAGGAGCTCACCGATGGGACTGTGTCCAGATCTTTCAAGGATTTGTGAGCTCAGCACGCAATCCTGCCTGCTGGTAAAGCCCAGGATGGATCGTAGGCAGGGCCAGCCTGAATGTTTCTCTAACCGGCACAGACGTTCATTTAGAGGGCTCCACGTTGTGCAAACACAGAGAAAGGAGGCCGCAGTGTGACTGGTATTGGCGAAAAATATCGGCAATGCGGAAACAACGACCTATAATTCACTCAAAATGGGAACAATGCAAAGGTCACCCCCGTAAAGCCTTAACAGACTGTTGGGGAAAGTGCTGTTAGCGTTTCGCACCTATGAAGGCCGGCACGGCACGCGACGGGGTGGGTGGCCAGCACCACGCCTGACACCTTTGTCTCCCCAGTGGCGATGTTTACACACTGCATTAGCTACTCAGTTGAGGTTGAGTCGACCTAGGGGAGGCCCAGGACCGGTTCAGATTATCGTCACTGGTGTTGGCCATGAGCGAGAATCGAACTCCTGTCGACGGGTTCGTAGCGCAGCATGCTAACCACTGCGCATACCACGCACATAGCACACATGCACAGTACACACGCTCAAACACACAACACACAACAACTTCAGTACACACACGCACAAAGAAAAAGATTCCCCATATAGCCTTAACAGACTATTGGGGCAATTGCTGTTAGTGAGCACCAATCACACACGATGCACACTAAAACACATACACAACATAGCACAAACATATGCATACAACCTCAAACAACGCATAGCACACACGGTACACACACACAAACGCACACGTGTACATAAAGCACACACATCGAGTACACACGCCCAAACACAATGATGCAGATGCTCTGGTGGTGATTCAGACAGTGTTGATGGTGATGATCCTCATGACAGTGATGAAATTACAATTTTTATTAATAACCCTGTTTGTGGTGCTCAATATGCGAACACTTATGGTACTGCTGCTGGTTCCGGTGTTGCTGCTGCTGCTGTTGTTGCTGCTGCCACTGGTGCAGCGCTGCATGCCGCACTGGCGATGGAGCTGTGGGGGCCGCGGGAGCTGCGCGCCGTGGAGGGGGCGCCAGTGCTGCTGCTGCCATGCGACTTCCGCTCGGTGGCGCCGATCTCCCCGCTGCTGCGCGTCGTGTGGCAGCGCCGGGACTCGCCAGAGCACCCCGCACAGCCGGTACCAGGGGGGTGGTGGGGGGCAGGTTCTTGTGAGTATTTACAGTAATAAAATTAAAAACTATTACACTTTTTTTTTTTACCAGGTAAGGCCAACTGAGCTACACAGTAAACCCTCGCCATGCGCGAGTTCTGGATTCGCGAGTTTTGCATATTCGCGAGTTACTCAAATGTTTACCGATTCCCTATTCGCGACACCCACCAGTGGGCATAGTGCCTGCAGACCACCGACACCAGGGGGGTGTGCGCAGAATGTTGTTCATATTGAATGTTGTTACATTGGAAACGGTCTGCTGCGATGATTAGGCATGCCACCTCGGCTGCCCGCTTAATCCACAAGTCTCGCAGTAATCCATCTCAGAACTCGCCATTGTGCATTTTTACTTTATGCGTACGACTTACAGTCAACTCGGCTACACATGTTTGTATAAACAAGTCGACTGAGTTTTTTTTAAAGGAAAGCGAATGCAATCAGGAAGCAGGCTAGCGCTCGCTCCCCAGAGTGCTAAAATGATAACAACTGTGCGACATTGTTATCAAACACCCCTGCATCTCCCGAGGAGTTATCCTCCTGAATTCATCACCACCACCTCAATCGTCGTCAAATCATTAAACGTTATTAAAAACACTTAGTTTAATACATTAAAACCTTGGATTGCGAGTAACTTGGTCTGCAAGTGTTTTGCAAGATGAGCAATTTTTTAAAATAAATATTCATTTGATAAACGAGAAAGGTCTTGCAATACGAGTACTGTAGTACGTACAGTATACGCTTTGTCTGCCGAGCGTCACGTGATCACAACTGATATACGAGTGCTTTGGATTACAAACACGCTTCCGGAACGAATTATGCTCGCAATCCAAGGTTTTACTGTATTTATATTTTTTTGAGTGTAGTGATTGTTATTAAACATTTACCATTTCCCCCAATATGTTCACTCGTACCAGGAACGTAATCCCCATTTTTCCCATTTCAAATGAGGTTTTTTCTGCATTCACAAATTCCGAGTTAGTGATTGTTTTTAAGAACATAACCCTCGCGGATAGAGAAGGGCTTACTGTATAGCTCTCTTTCAGAAGCGACCTGGCCACAAATGAAAGCTCAACTAAGTGGCTTTACACACGGAAATTTATAGCAGCCAAATGCTCTAAACACGAATGTGGAGTGAAAAACTGGAGGACCCTGGAGAAAAATCCACACGACCATGGGGAGAACATGCAAACTCCAAATATACAGCAGGCTTCAGGGTTTGGATCGAACCCACAACCTCCTGGTATACTGGGCGAGGTAGTTAACATCTCCTAGCCACCGCGGTGCCCCGGCAAAACCCTGATTTACGCCTCACCCAATACCCTCATTTACGCAAATACATCGTCACTTGATTAACACCGCTACCCGATTAGCATCGCCTCAACACCACCACACTTACGTCGCTGACAGCATCGTCCGTCCTTTCTCGCTCTCCGTTGCCTCTCAACCTTCGCCTCCACCACCTACCCTGTCAAACGCTTCTTTTAATTAAGTCGTTTTGAATATTATTTGTTAGCACCTTTCAGGAATGCTTCCCCCGACGTAATCCGGGGTAATTACCATACCACGATAGTTGCCATGATACGTTACCTTGAGAACTTGCTACCACACAATGTTGCCACTTGACGTTGCCACGTGATGCCAGTTTTATTTCCCTGCCACTTGGTGGCAGCAGTGCACATTCAGAGCAACTCGCAGGAACACCTGCCGGGCTCTGCATGCGAGATCAACACCGTGCGTGGTAGTCACGGGGAACCCATGCGGGGTGCGGCACGTGTGCCTGAGCAAGGCTGTACGGGTGCGTGTGGTTGACGTGAACCGGCGCAGGTGCTGCTGCTGGAGGGGCCGAGCGACTGGCGCAGCGCGGGGCCTCTGCGTGGCCGTGCTCGCTGGGCGGGCCGTGTGACCGAGGGCAATGCCGCGCTGGAGCTGCTGGCGCCGCAGCCGTCCGACTCGGGCCTCTATTTGTGCGATGTCCTCAACCTCCCCGACGTGGACGGCGTGCCGACCCGCACGCAGCTCGTTGTGCTCGCGCGCGGTAACAAACGCGCACATGCACACACGCACGCACACACTGAGACAAAGGTCCCCCCCCGTGTAGCGTGTAAAATCTTTGGACCGGTTTCGACATTCAGTGTTTCAGCAGAGCAAGGTTTGCTTGCACCACTGCTTATGAACGTTCAGATGTTTATAGAAGCAAGATATGAGTGCTAGTTTTTCACATACCTCTATAATTACACAACACAGAATACTTTGAGTTATGAAACTAATACAAGGCTGAGTTATGAAACTGACACAAGGCTGCAGGTGTTACCTTCGCGGACGCGTAGGGAGACGATAATGCAATGACAAAGATTCCCCGCGTAGTCTCTGACGTATGCATGTTGAACTTCTTTCACACCGTATGCAGCCAACCGTGCTCATCGGAGGGGCGGGGAAGGACAACAAACAGCGCAAAAAACAGTTTATAAGAAATAAGATGTCACGTTCGATTTAAAAGTGCATAGCTCCAGTGGCTTCTTGATATCGGATAAGAAGAGCGTTCCAGAGGGCTGCAGAAGCGCAATCCAAAGGCGCGCGATGCGGTGACCGTCTTTGTTCCATGGCCAGCCAAAAGCCACTGCTGCTGCGAGGATGAGCAAAGTTTGCAACCCGCTACCACCACTCATACTCGCAGCGCCTCACGGCTCTCTGAACCTCCAGACGATTTCGGGAGGGAGGCGTGAGAGAGGAGGGAGAGGAGGGGAGAAGGGGGGTGGATTCATGAGAGGGTGTAATGGTGGCGAGATGTTCACTACCTCGCCTGGTATCCAGGAGGTCCGTGGGTTCGATCCCGAGCCTCACGCCTGTTGCATATTTGGAGTTTGCATGTCTCTCTTCCTGTGGTCGTGTGGATTTTTCTCTGGGTCCTCTGGTTTTTCCATCCACATGTAGAATCAACGTCATACGCTCAGAGTAGTTGGCTGCTGCTATAAATTTTCATGCGAAAATAAGCCACTTCGTTGAGCTTTTATTTGTGATGGCCAGAGCCCTTCTGAAAAAAGAGCTACTTGGCAGCTCAGTGGGGCCTTACCTGGTAAAATAAAAAAGTAGTTTATAGGGGGGAGGGAATGGTTGTGCTCGCTCGGTCTGTACTCGAGGTGCTGGAACATGCTGTAGCCTCCTGAGGCACGATTCCTTCCCCTGTGGGACGGGGCAGAGAAAGAAAGAGAAGGGGGGGGGGGGTAGAGAAGTAGAGAGGTAAAGGGAATGTGGGTGAGGAGGAGAGAGAGAAGGAGAGAGTTAAGTTAGAAAAATAGAGGGAGAAAGAGAGAGTGAAGCCATCAAAGGCGCTCTCTCTCCGCCGATTTCCACCATCCAGCCGTACGGAGCAGGGCACGTTCTCAGATCTGCTTTCCCTTTAATTGGCCCTAATTGGGGGGTAATTGCCGGGATCCCACAGTCCGCCGCCTTTGTGGCGTTGGCGGCTCCTGCCCCCGTGGTGCCCCAGCGCCAGCTGAAGCCCCCCCGGGGCAACAAAGCCTTTCTGTGGCGGCGCGGGGGAAACCGGCTCTCAGTGCCGTCCATGCGCCCCGTCTCTCGCCTCTCCTCGTCCGCAGCGCCGACCCCCAGACCTACCAATAGGACGCGACCGGAGTCGGAGTCTGACTCGCCCACGCCCACGCCGCCCGCGCACGCCACCGTGGAGAGCGAGCGACGCGAGAGGGCGTGGGGAAACGTGTCGTGTGCGGGGTCTGGCGCCATGCAGTTTGTGCTGGCTGGTGCGGGCCTTCTGGTGGGCGTGGCCCTGCTGGCCGCAGCGGCAGCGCTCGTGAAGAGGTCACGGAGGAAGGCGACGAGGTGAGGCGGCTCCGCTACAGCTGACAAGGGGGGGTGTGATTGTGTTGGGGTCTGATTGTGTGGGTGTGTGTGGGAATGGTGGCGTAGTGGTTAACGTGCTGCACTACAAACCCGGTGACTCGAGTTCGATTCCCGCTCACGGCGAACATGGGTGACGATTATTTGAACCGGTAGCTGACCCTCTCCCGAGATCGACTCGGCCTCAAATGAGTACCTGGTGCGGTGTGCAAGCATCGCTTCTTGGGAGACAAAGGCGGCCGGGCGTGGTGATGGCCACCCACCCCCTCATGTGCCATTTAAGCCTTCATAGGTGTTGCTCGCTAACAGCCCTTGCTCCAGCAGTCTGTTAAAGGCTATGTGGGGAATCTTTGTCTATGAACTCCAATCAAACCAATAATAGCCTCATCTCAGCCATTGAAAGTTGGAGTTGGTATCGTCCCCCCTTCTCCAGATTCCGAGGGTAATTGAGTAAGGTTCAGGACTGTGGCTCATGCAGCTGCAAAGGTTGCATTTGATACACGGTTCAGACCTCCTCACCAGAGACCCTGGCTGACAGAGGAGGTGTTCCAGCTGGCTTGAGAGAAAGTGACAGGCCCACTCCCATCGTCTCCAACAGTGTTTATCATTGCAAGGCCCCACAGGCCACTGGCGGCCCCGGGGTGGCCTTTAGTGCAGCCTCTGACATGCGGCCCCCAATAATACACAAATAGTGAAAACACCCCCCATCATCGTACTGTCAAAAACCCCAATGGTTTCAAATATGTGGCGGCCTTCACTGATGATGTCTAATCGGTGAAAGTGGGCCCCCCTCTGAAAGTTAGTGAGGAACACTGGCCTAAAACATCCCACGTTGGAGACTGAAGATGAGTGGTGGTCGCGGGTTGCTGAGGAGATCACAAATCAATGTCCAATTCCACATATTACAGTCCATAATGGAAAGAATGATCATTCGATCTTTGATCACCAACATGCACCTAGCCTGACACAAGCGCTGTGGTGACGACGCCTTCACTTAGTGGTGAATGAACGCTGCTGCTGCTACCACTGCTGCGGCTGCTATTTCTGCTGTAGCTTCTGCTGTTGCTACTGCTGTTGCTACTGCTGTTGCTACTGCTGTCGCTACTGCTGCTACCTCTACTGCGTTTGCTGTTACTGCTGCCGCTACTGCAGCTGCTGCGACTGCAGCTGCTGCTATTGTTGTGGCTGCTACTACTGTTGCTCCTGCGGCTGCTGTCTTCGCTGCTGAACGGACGCATGGGTGTGGAGTTGCGTCTTCACTTCCTTGTCTCCGTGTAACAGGAGTCGATTCGAGGAGCCAGAGGAGCACGGGGATGGGAGCACCGTGACCCTGGTGACCTCGTGAGGGCAGCACGGCGGTGGGGAACGACGGGGGACAATGGGGGCGGTGGGAGGGGGGTGCGGGAGGGCCGGGGAGGACGAAGCTGTTAGTCAATGTTGAGGCTGTAGGTTAACGTTGAAGCTGTGGGTCAGCATTGAGGCTGTTGGTTAGCACTGAGGCTGTGTACTATAGGTCAGCGTTGAGTCTCTGGGTTGGCGTTGAGACTGTCGGTCAGCATTGAGGCAGTGTGTCAAAATTGAGGCTGTGGGTCAGCATTGAATCTGAGGCTGTAGTTAACGTTAAAGCTGTAGGAAGATTTGAAGCTATGGGCAGCGTTGACAACTCTAGGTAGCGTTGAAGCTATTTGTGAAGAGTTGAGGCTGTGGGTCAGCTTTGAGGCTGTAGGTCAGCATTGAGGCTGTTGGTCAGTGTTGAGGCTGTGAGTCAACGATGGTAACCAGTGGTGAAATGATTATCCCCCTTCCAAAGAGTCAGGATCACAGTTTGATTCCAAAAACAATCGTTCCTTTTATAGCATTGTGGTGAATGCTTTTTGGCGCCTGTAGTGGGCTGCCAGGGGTTACATGAACCCACTGCGTACACCGCGTACAGATCTAATCATGTCCTTCTCACGCGTGTGAGGTGCTGCTGCCACGACATCTTTCCTGCAACAGTGGCCGTTCCACAGAAATAGTTCTGATCGAGTACATTTGGTACCGGTGCGGTTGTTCTTACAGCACACGGAAGGCGCTGCTGCTGGGCCTGCTGTGTTTCACAGAAGTTTGTCCATAATAGAGGTTTTGTTGGATTAGATCGCGTAAATGTGAATGTGTCATTTAACCCGCCACCACCCGTCACACCCACTTACTAAGGGTTTGTCATTTAAACAAAACATGCCAATTCTTTGCTAGTTCAGCACACACCAATGTGTGTTGGAGAGTAAACCCACAACAACATTTACAGTTTGAGTACAGTGACGTTTCGCCGGTAATTACATCAACCAGCCTCATCAGGCAACAGCCAGAGAGCGGTCTGCACAGCTTACACTGGCAGCGGGCGATGTCGCTGCTGCTACGGTGTGCGATCCCAATTGGGTAATTTTTGATTGACATTTTCCACATCGCTGAGCATACACTTTTTGGAATATTTGCCAAATTTTGATTCCTGCTGCTGGCTCACGAAGAGCCGCCCCCAACCGCTCTCTCTCTGCACGACGTCACGGGATCTCTCCGTCGTCAAATGCGAGTGAAGCGGACGGCGCATTGGAGTTAATGTGCTCAACGCTCACTGCCGCAGTAATGACCTAGGGCAGGCCTGCCAGATTCGAACCGCGGAACCTCTCCAGCAAGCGGTGATCGCTGACTGTGGCATCTCTTTAAGTTATTCCTATTTTATTATGAGTATTTGTCGGTGTTATTTATTGTCATGTCGACCCTGCTGTTACACGTCTACAGGTGTCATAGAAGCACCAGACTGTCTAGGGCAGAGGCGTGACTCTTAGTCGGAAGTTCACAAATGGGCCGCGTCGGGAGACGCAACTCGCCGTGGTGACGAGTTAATTCCCTCGCCTGGTGTGCATGAGGTCGAGCGTTCGATCACCAACCTGCGAATATGCATCTTGACATTTGGAGTTTGCGTGTCTGTCTCCCCATGGCCGTGTGGATTTTTCTCCAAATCCACGTCACGCACGTTGAGAGTATTCGCCTACCGCTATCACATTTCCACGTGATGACGACGAGCCACTTCGTTGAGCTATCATTTGTGATAACCAAGTCACTTTTGAAAAAGAGCTACGTAGCTCAGTGGGCCTCACCTGCGACGTAGAAAAAAATTGTTTAAAATTAATTCAGTCACCCCCAGGGCTCTGGAACGTGCGGTAGGACGCACCGATCGGCAGTTCGTCGGTGGGTGAATCCTGGACCCCGTAACATGACGCCGGCTCTTGTGCTGGAGTCAGTGGGAGCCCGTTTCTCGGCGGCGGGGGGGGGGGGGCTCGTGCTGGCAGAAGCCAAGAGGAGAGGCTCCCCTGGAAAGGCGGACCGACTCGCGTGCCCCAGTGCGTCTCGGGGTGTGTCCTGCCTTGCGACGCCGCAGACCCTCGGAGGCGAATGAGAATAGGGCCCCGGTGATATCGCTTCTCTGTCCTTGCCCAGGGTGGGCCGTGAGTTAATCCGTTGTTTGTACTCACGTTTGTTTACCAAGAAAAAATCTTCGCTCAAGAGTTGTGCACGATCCCAATTGAGTGGAGCGGTGGTGTAGCGGTTAGCGTGCTGCGCTTATGGGCCCAGCTACCCGAGTTCAATTCCCGCTCACGGCCACCAATATCGGTGACGATTATCTGAACCGGTCCTGGGCCTCCCCTAGGTCGGCTAACCCTCAAATGAGTAGCTGGTGCGGTGTGTAAGTACATTGCTACCGGGGAGTGGTGCTGGCCACCCACCCCCTCGAGGGGGTCGGTGGCCAGCAGGAACGGCACACGAGGGGGTGTTCGCTCACAGCACTTGCCCCTATAGTCTGTTATAGGCTATGTGGGGGATCTTTGACTTTGTTTGATCCAAATTGAACAATTTTCAAGTTGGGATTTTTTCAGGATTGGGATATTTTGACCAATACTTTCACATGGGAGAGAGAAAGTAAAGAACACGGAGGAGACCCATGCAGAACGGGGGAGAGAGAGATCACACAAACTCCATACAGAAGGTCGCCAGAGTCGGGATTAGAAACCAGGGCCCTTGTCGCCGTGAAGCGCAAACGTCTCCATTTTGGAATTGTCCGAACCTTCCAAACGTGTCCAGCACCCCACCTCCACTGAACGAGTCTTGAGACTCCGTGAGGCTTCTCCTGGGTGTCAACCCCCAGGCCCCCCCCCCCGTTTCTGCTGGTGAAATCCAAGGCCCCCCGGCAGGCATGGCCCCCCTCATGCTACTGCCGGTTTCCCTCATTGGCTGCTGTTTTGACTCGTTACTAAATCGCGATGCCATACGACGGCCCCCCTCATAAGAAGACGTCTCAATCTAGCAAGGGGGGTGGGGGGCGGGCTAGCGTCGTGTGATTCGCTCGCCGGCCTGCAATGTTCGTCAATGTAAATCAACGGTGGGAGACGTCGCATCGTGGTTACGTGCGGTGTGTGACGTCGGCGCGCTCGCTGCACGAGGCTTCGGCTTCTGCAGTGGGGGAGAAAACTAAATCCAGCCCTGGCGCGACCCACTGACCCGTGATGCCCTGGCTCGGCTCGCCTCTGCCAGTGGGGGGGAAAAAATGAGTAAATATAAATACAGTGGACTCTCGATTATACACGTGCGGTTCATCCGATTTGCTGATAAATCACGCACCTGAGATTTTAACATAAATTTATAACTCATGGATTTTCCCTTGAGCCCAAATTAATAATCCTAAAAAGTTAGACATTTTTATTCTTGGAAATGTTTATTGCAAGTCACGTGCTTAAACCCAACAAATATGTGCTCCAATTAATGCGAAATCCACGTGATCGCCTCTACAGTACAGTAGTTGCAGTCTTTACAACAGTGGGTGGAGTTTGATGTTGATTGGGGTGGCTCTGTTGTCATCCACTTAGAGAGAAGTCTTCTGCACGGGAGCAGGGAAGTGCTATCACTGAGCACGCGTATCGATGAATGGATATTTTTGGAATTGTTCGTGATTTTGAATTATCTGCGGCCATCCTCCCCATCATTAGCGCGGATAATGGAGAGTCCACAGTACATTAGACATTGTTGTGTTGCACTCCAGTCTCTGGGTGTGTGTGGGGGCGAGTTTTCTCTCCGTGCCTTTCATTCTGATCGTGCCAGTGGAGATATAAAAGTGATACATGGCGGTGTAATGAATGGTTGAATGTAAATTAAAGCACTCCTTTATTGCTGGCTTCAATGTCATTTCGTGCTCTGGTGTTGTCATTCTTAACGCCAATGATTAATGTAAGCATTAAAAAATATATCAATTGTTTTTGTTTAGCGAGACGATCCAAGGTGCCTGTCGGGGGGGGTATACATGGGGCGGCAGGGCGCTGGCACTGCGCCCGAGTTCAATTCCCGACTTGGGGCGCCTTTCTGTACGGAGTTTGCAAGTTCTCTCCCTCTTCTGCAGAGCGTGAGCGACAGTGTGTTTGTGTGAGATCGAGTGGTGTTTTTTATTATTTTTCTCCCACCCTCTGTTCTGCAATGGGTTTTCTCCGGCTTCTACCAGTTACACAATCGTGTAACTGGTATCAAGGGACCTTTTTGCTCGTATCAAAATATGAAAAATAAGAATGTTTTACCCTTTCTGGCAATAAAACATCTGAACACTTGTTTTATTGCCAGAAAGAGTAAAACCTATTTGTGTTTTTCATACTTTGATACTGGCAAAAAGGGTCCCATGGATATAGCTGCTCAACCCGAGCTCTGCAAGTGCTCTGATAGGAGCGTGGTCTTTGTGATATTCGCCTTTTGGCGTTCTCTGGTCTGGCACCGGTGAGACTAGGCAATAAAGAAGGCTGTCTCTTGTGTAGGCCAATCAGTTTCATAGGCAATGCTTATATTATCAGAGCATGTGTGTTTGCATGTTCACCACAAGTGTGGTTAATAGAGATGTGTGATGCCTTGTAAAATGTATCTGGTGCTTGAATATCTTAACACCTCCTATTTTATTGCCAGAAAGGGTCGATTGCAATTTCGCCAGGAGCTTAACTTTTTTTTTTTCCGTGCAAACTTGGCAGGACCCTCCCTAGAAAAACAAAAACAAGTCTTGAGACTCGGGCGGCTTTCCTGGAGTGAAACGAGCGGAATGAAAGCTGCTAATACCGCACTCGAATAAGCCTTGTACGTCAGACCACACTCGCGCTCTCGAATAAATAAGCCTTGTACGTCAAACCACACTCGCGTTCTTCATAGAGCGGTTCAAAGGCTCACCGCAACTCGTCTCACAAGCCGCCAAAGTCACGAATGCAAATCCAAAGGTGAGGGTTCAACTTACGGGGCCCACTGTCATCTTTTTAAATCGTCGCCATCCCCTTCTCTGGGGTTTGTAAAATAAAAAACCGAGCTTCACCCGTGTCAAAAAAGTCAACGGTGGGTCGTCCCACAACAATAAATCTGTTTATGCCATGGGAACGTGTAATTTCTCCCGCTGGCTTGAGAGATCCTCCCAGAGAGAGACGTTGTGACCTGCAGTGTGGAAGGCGGGTGAGCGAGCGATTGGGCGAGTTAAACTAAAACGAAACTTTTATGTTACCAGATAAGGCCCACTAAGCTGCTATGTAACTCTTTGAGAAGTGACCTGGCCATAAATGATAGCTCAACGAAGTGGCTTATGGGGAAATGTATCGCAGCCAAATACTCTAAACGCCTAATGTTGATTCTAAATGTGGAAGAAAAAACTGGACGACCCGGAGAAAAATCCACGCGGCCACGGGGAGACCATGCAAACCCTAAATATACAGGAATCGGGATCGAACCCACGACCTCTCTACCAGGCGAGATAGTTAACATCTCACCACCGAGTCAGTGGCTAAGTGGATGTGAGGAGTGGTAGTGTAGCGGTTGGCGCACTTCGGCTACGAACCAGACGATCCGAGTTCGATTACTGCTCACGGCCAACACCAGTGACAATTATCTGAACTGGTCCTGGGCCTCCTCTAGGTCGACTCAGTCTCAAATGAGTCGGTGGTATGGTGTGGTGGCTGCACAAACTCCCGCACCTCCAATTGGCTTCGTACAGTGCAAAATAACTTTAACATACTGTGGATGAGAATAGACGGGCTGTTGTATATATCTATATAAAGTATACACAAAGTGCTTGCCACAAATGAACCACAATACCTCGCTGATCTCGTCAAGGAGCATAAACCATCATCACTCAGCTCCGGTCATCCTCGCAGCAGCAGCAGCGTTTGGCTGACCATCGAACAAAGACCGCATCGCACGCTTTCAGATGCGCTTCTGTCGCCGTCTGGAACGCTCTTTCGATATTAGGAAGCCACTGGAGCTATGCACTTTTAAATCATCTACCATGGCCAATTAATTTCTTTACAACTGCGTTTCGTGTTTAGTTGTCCTTCCCCCGCACCTCCGATGAGCACGGTTGGCACACACAGCCCTGGAAAGGGCACTATATACATCTGAAATAGAATATAATTGTTGACCAACATTTTTATTTTAAAAAATTTAAACCCCGCTTCCTTGGCATATATTCCCGGCACGAGGCCGAACCCAGCGAGGGAACTCTCGCCGGCAATGCCCCCCCCCCCCCCCGGGGTTCCATCCACAAACCAAGCGACCTTTGCAAGCAGCTCGCCAAATTTAACGTGGAGAAGGAGGAGGGGGGGGGGGACTGTGACCTCGGCGATTTACCGCTCTCACCGCGGCACCCAGCCACGCCTGCCTACCCCACACGAGGCGACCTCGCTCCGCAGGGCGAGCGGAGCCCCTGCCCCACGCCTCGCTCGGATCGTCGCTTTCCACGCAGCTTGGCGGGGCAGTGCGTAGGGGACAGAGCAGCGGGTCAGGGGCAGCGGGGGGGGGGGTGCCGCTCCCTGCTCCGGCCTCCTCCATCCGTGTGCCTCATCCACTGCAGTGGATGATGCGAGCATCGCAGCAAAAAGGGAGCCTGGGTTTAATTCCCGACTCGGGTGACTCTGTGTGGAGTTTGCGTATTCTCCCTCCTCCCTGTGCTGCGTGGGTTTTCCCCGGGTTCTCTCGTTTCTTCCCATAGCTAAATACACATACGCAGTGGAGAACTGGCATTGGCCAAACATCCGAATGCTGAAAAAAAATATTACCGACAAATTTCTCAATTGGGATTGCAAACGGCAACGGCAGCAACATCGTCCACACGCCTGCAACGACTGGGTGCCACGCCTGGTATACAGGAGGTCGTGAGTTCGATCCCAACCCTGACGCCTGCTGCTGTATATTTGGAGTTTGCGGTGTCTCTCTCCTCATGGTCTCGTGGAGTTGTCTCCGGGTCCTCCGGGTCCTCCGATCCCCTACCCCCACATTTAGAATCAACGTCACGCGTTCAGCGTATTTGGCTGCTGTAAATTGCCAGATGATCAGCTACTTCGTTGAGCTATTATATGTGGACAGGTCGCTTCTGAAAAATAAGCTATATAGCTCAGTGAGCCTTACCTGGTAAGATAAAAAAATGAGTTTAACTTGGCAGGGACCCTTCTGAAAAAAAAGTCTTGAGACTCAGTGGGCCTTTCCTGGCTAAACAAGCGGAATCATCAATAAATATTGATAAACCACACCATTCTGCAATATGAGCTTTCACACTGATAACAGCATCCCTCCAGGGCTACTAATGAAGTAACACTTCGTGGGGAAGTCTAACAGTGGTTGTCCTATGGATGGCCTCACCCCCGCCATATAAATGTGTAATTTTTACCACTGGCTCTGTGGCGCTGTAAAAGACACGAGCACCAATGTTTCAGTGTTTACGTGAGCAGGACATTGGTTTGTCTCGTCTACCCTCTAAACCTGCTGAATGTGGATACCATCCACCTCATAGCTGTACCCATATCACGTCTCCATAGCTGTGCCCGTATCCCAGAGATGTGCCCATAGCTGTTGCCCACACGAGTGTGGACAATGCGGGCTGCGTGTTGCATTGCCGAGCGGCGCGCGCGTGGCGCTTAACGGGCGCATCGCGCCTCGTTTTTTGTTGTTGAAGGCTGCGAGTTATGTCGTCGGATGCGCGCACAGAATTTGCCTCCCCATCTCTTCCCCTCTCCCCACCCCCAGTGCCGGATTAAACTCGTGCGGGGCCTGCTATAAAGGGGCCCTACATTGAAAAAAAAAAACAAATATTAAAACACAAATTTTTAACTTGCATAGTAAAGTAATTGTATTTTTTCATTTGCTATACAGCCAGATAATACGAAAAATCGCTAACCATAAACACCCAGTCGTTCATAAAAATTGAAGGCAGTATAGTACTATAGTAACAGAGCAGGCGCAGAATCTCTGAACCGGAATAGATAGCTTGAAAGCGTTTAGTGCGGGGCCTCTTGAAAGTGCGGTGCCCGTAGCTACAACACGTGCAGCTACTACACGTGTTGTAGCTACTTTAGCTACGAGGATAATCCGGCACAGGCCCCCCTCCCCGTCTCTTCCCCTCCCCTACCCCCCGGTGCACTCTGCCCCGCTCGCCGCTCGCCCACCGGCCACGGGGCACCAACAACGACAGACGGCGCCACTGTCCACGCCGCCCATTCTCCACGCCGCCCATTCTCCACGCCGCCCATTCTCCACGCCGCCCATTCTCCACGCCGCCCATTCAGCGGCCGTCGCTTTCATTTGCGAGCTGCTGCCGCTGCTGCGCCACAGCGCTCGGAATGCGCGCGCGTCAAATGGGGCCCTGAGAAATTGCGGCAGACTCCAACCCCCCATCCCCCCATCCACCTCCACGTTCACGTTTCCCCGCCCGCGCCTGCTGACAGACCTGGCTGGGCGCGCCCGCTACCGCCACGGAGCACAAAGCACGCGGGCGAGGAGGGGAGGGGATGGCGGAGAGAAGATTGGTGAGGGTGGTGGTGGAGAGATGATTGGTGAGGGTGGTGGTGGTGGAGAGATGAGTGGTGAGGGTGGTGGTGGTGGGGAGATGATTGGTGGTGGTGGTGGTGGTGGAGAGATGATTAGTGAGGGTGGTGGTGGGGAGATGAGTGGTGAGGGTGGTGGTGGTGGGGATATGATTGATGGTGGTGGTGGAGAGATGATTAGTGAGGGTGGTGGTGGTGTTGGGGAGATGAGTGGTGAGGGTGGTGGTGGTGGTGGTGGTGGAGAGATGATTGGTGGTGGTGGTGGAGAGATGATTGGTGAGGGTGGTGGTGGTGGAGAGATGATTGGTGAGGGTGGTGGTGGTGGTGGAGAGATGATTGGTGAGGGTGGTGGTGGTGGTGGTGGTGGAGAGATGATTGGTGAGGGTGGTGGTGGTGGAGAGATGATTGGTGGTGGTGGTGGAGAGATGATTGGTGAGGGTGGTGGTGGTGGAGAGACGCGTTCCTGAAAGGTGCTAACGACGACTATCGAAACGACGTTAATCGAAGATTGACAGGTGAGGTGGTGGAGACGAAGGCTGAGAGGCGACGGACGATCCCAAGGTGCCACCAGGCCCCAACACACACTTCTCCAAACGTTTCACATTTTGGTTAGAAAGACCTATTCTGAGCTCCTGGAAGCATCACGAGGCCTCCTCATTCACCCTCTGGCATAACTCCCTATTCACCCCAGCAGGTTTAGAACACCTGAGTGTGAAACTGAGGAATAAAGAAGGGGAGTTCACCCAGATCTGGGCCCCCTCGTGAATGCCACTCCAGCGACCTTGAGTTTACTTGACTGACCTTGAAATGACACTGACTCCCCCCCGCCATCTCTCCCCCTTCCTTCCCCGAAGAAAAGTGATCTGACACACCACGTACCGCAGAACGCTATACGGTCCTACACGTCCGCGTTGGTTGTCTGAGCCGTCTATCCCACTACGCACCACACTCCCCTGTCGCCGAAGTTGTACACCCCCCCCAACGATCAATACAAAAATAAATAGGATGACAGGGATTTTTTAATTGTAAAATTCTGACACAACCGAGGTTATGCTAAATTGGCTCCTCCACATAACGTCCGCCAACTAATTGACAGCACGGTAATTAAAACCCAGTCCTGTAGTTAGGCATTCAGGAGTAATAGTCGATTCTTCCCTGGCGTTTGAGGCACAAACTGGAACGTAAATGTGTCCCTTGTCCAGATTCGGAACATTGCTCGCGTGCGCCGTTGTCTTTCTGTTGCTGAGGCTGAGAAGCTGATGCACAACGAACGTCCTCTTCTCTACACTCGACTACTTTGCTCGCGTGCGCCGTTGTCTTTCTGTTGCTGAGGCTGAGAAGCTGATGCACAACGAACGTCCTCTTCTCTACACTCGACTACTTTGCATGAGAGTCGTAGGTGGCTAAGAGATGTTAACTACCTCGCCTGATATACAGAAGGTCGTGGGTTGCGATCCCGACATTGACGCCTGTTTACGTGGAGTTTGCATGTTCTCCCCGTGGTCGCGTGGATGTTTCTCCGGGTCCTCCCGTTTTTGTCATCCACATTTAGAAACACGCGGTTCGAGTATTTTGCTGCTAGACATTTGCACGTTGTAAGCCAATTGGTTGGGCTATCATTTGTGCCCAGGTCGCTTCTGAAAAAGAGCTACAGAGCTCAGTGGGCCTTACCTGGTAAAATAAAAAATAGTTTCCTTATTTGTTCTAGTTTGCTTGCCGGTGCACGAGCGGTGGGTGGCCAGCACCACGCCTGGCCACCTTTGTCTTCCATGTCACGGTGCTCATTTGTATGTATGATGTTGAACTTCTTTCGCACCGTAAATAGCCAACCGTGCTACTCGAAGGTGCGGGAGGAGGACAACAAACGAACACACAAAAGGCAGTTCTACCTAAATGAGTTTTCGATATAGATGATTTCAAAGTGCTCCAGTGACTTCAAAATATTGGAAGAGCGTTCCAGAAGTCCGCAGAAGCGCATCTGAAAGCGTGCGATGTG